AAAAAAAAAAAAAAAAAAAAAAGGTGGAAGCTTTACCTCTTTTGTTTATGTGGATAGAGCTGGAATATATCCTACTTAGTAAAGTATCTGAAGAATGGAAGAAAACACCTGTGGCTCAAGGAATAGGGCACCAGCCCCATATACCAGAGGTGGTGAGTTCAAACCTGGCCCTGGCCAAAAAAAAAGAATAGAAGAAAAAGTATCCAATGTACTCAGTACTATTATGAAACCAATTTACAATCACTCACACTTTCATATGAACATTAGATCACAGGGAGGTACCTGTGGCTCAAAAGAGTAGGGGTGCCAGACCCATATACTGGAGGTGGCAGGTTCAAACCTGGCCCTGCCAAAAAAACTGCAAAAAAAAAAAAAAAAAAAAAAGGAATAGATTGCATCTATGGCCCAAGATGGAGGGAGGAGGGGGGGGATAAGATGGGAGGGGGGAGGTTAGATCAAGGGAGGGTGAATGGTGGGATCACACCTATGGTGCATAATGCAAGGGTGCATGTCGGATCTATTAGTATAGAGTATAGATGTCTTAACACAATAATTAAGTAAACAAGATGAGATATATATTAACTAGTGTGATGTAAGCATTCCTAATTCTGTATGAAATCAGCACAATGTACCCCATAAATGCATTGATGTATACAAGTTCTATGTTTATGATTAAATAAAAAACAAATAAATAAAAAATACTTATTTCTGGCTCAGTACCTGTAGCTCAAGCGGCTAAGGTGCCAGTCACATACACCAGAGCTGGCGGGTTCAAATTCAGCCTGGGCCTGCCAAACAGTGACAACAACAACCAAAAAATGGCTGGGAGTTGTGGCAGGCACTGTAGTCCCAGCTACTTGGGAGGCTGAAGCAAGAAAATCACTTGAGCCCAGGAGTTGGAGGTTGCTGTGAGCTGTAATGCCATAGCACTCTACCCAGGATGACAGCTTGAGGCTGTCTCAAAAAAAAAAACAAACAAAAAACAAAAAACAAACTTATTCCTGAAATTTGTTTTATAATCCAGCATATGGCCTATCACGAGGAATATACCATATATACCTTAAAAAAGCATATTTTGCAGTTCAGGGATAAAGCATACTACAAATGTGAAATAGACTGAGGTGGCCAATAACATTTCAAATACTACGTCCTGATTTTTTGAACAATTTTCTGTTTACTGCTCAGACATGGGTGTTTTTTTTTTTTTTTTTTTGAGATGGAGCCTCAAGCTATCCCCCTGGGTAGAGTGCCATGGCATCACAGCTCACAGCAACCTCCAACTCCTGGGCTCAAGCGAGTTTCCTGCCTCAGCCTCCCAAGTAGCTGGGACTGCAGGCGCCCGCCACAACACCTGGCCATTTTTTGGTTACAGCCATCATTGTTGTTTGGCGGGCCCGGGCTGGGGATTCGAATCCGCCACCTTAGGTGTATATGGCTGGCGCCTTAGCCGCTTGAGCCACAGGCGCAGAGCCGCAGACATGGGTGTTCAAATCTATTATAATGGCAAAATTGCCATTTCATAAATTCTATAAATTTTTATTTATGTATTAAAGTGAATACATATTTAAACTATATTATCTTCCTGATGAATTGTCCCTTATAGCATAATTTCTGTCTTTTTTTTTTTTTTTTTTGGAGACAGTCTCTCTGTTGCCCTGGATAGAGTGCTGTGGCCATCATAGCTCATAGCAACCTCAAACACTGGGGTTTAAGAGATCTGATCTTCTGTGTCAGACTCCTGAGAAGCTCAGACTACAGACACCTGCTACAATGCCCAGCTAGTTTTTCTATTTTTAGTAGTCATGGAGTCTCATTTTGCTCAGGATGGTCTTGAACTCCTGAACTCAGGCAATCTACCTGCCTTTGCCTCCCAAAGGACTAGGATTATAGGCAAGAGCCACCACACCTGGCCTGTATTTTTATTTCTGATAATACTTTGCCTTACAGTCTACTTTATCTGATATTTATATAACCACTTCAGTCTTTTGAGACAGTTTGTCACCCTTGGTAGAGTGCTACGGCATCATAGCTCACAGGAACCTCAAATTCCTGGGCTAAAGTGATTCTCTTGCCTCCGCCTCCCAAGTAGCTGGGACTACAGGTACCTGCCACAACATCCAGCTATTTTTAGAGACAAGGTCTTACTCTTGCTCAGACTGGTCTCGAACTCCTGAGTTCAGGTGATTCACTTGCCTTGGCCTCCCAAAGTGCTGCCTGGCTGTTTTTTTTGGTTGTAGTTGTCATTGTTATTTGGAAGGCCTGGGCTGGGTTCTGGTATATGTAGCTGGCGCTCCAGCTGCTAAGTTACAGGCAACAAGCTGGCACACGTTTTTTATTTGCTCCCTTTAAGTTACTGCCTTCTATAGTGTGCCCTTGTTTACTTCTTAAATTACTCACATGGCCTTTTCCCCTTTTCTTTTTTCCTATTTTATCCAGGGTAAGCAGTGGAAGGGACGGATTGTAGGGGGGCTTACATTGTGATCATGGAACCAGAGCCACCATCTGTGCTTTACAAAGGTCTCATACATACTCTCACGTACATATTCACAGGAAACTGATAATTGTGAATGGGTAGAGGGAGGAAAACTGTGGGGACCAAGAGGAAAAATCTTACTTTTCAATACAGACTCTTCTGCATTGACCAAGGTATGTGAATATTTTCAAAACATGAGTAACAGGCAGCACCTGTGGCTCAGTGAGGAGGGTGCCGGCCCCATATACCAAGGGTGGCAAGTTCGAACCCGGCCCAGGCCAAACTGCAACAACAAAAAACTTGAGTAACAACTATACAAAGCATTCCATTTGGGATGGACTATGCATTAGGCAGCATAAAGGGCAGACAAAGAAAAACACAAAGGTTTTCATGCAAGCACCTAAAAGGGTAAACCCATTGACAGCCCCAGGAAGACATTATGTAATGTTGAATTCCAATGGAAGGTGTCTTACAGATAACCAGATGTCTGTTTAGGGCAGCCTTCCAAAGGTACAGTGCTATGGCATCATACCTCACAGCAACCTCAAACTCTTCGCCCCTCACTAAACTGTGGAGGTAATAAAGTCCGAAGATTGGCTCGGTAGCATAGTGGTTATGGCCCCAGCCACATGCACCATGGGTGGTGGGTTCAAACCCTGCCCGGGCCAGCTAAACAATGACAACTGCAGGCAGCTGTCAGGCAGTGCCTGTGGCTCAAAGGAGTAGGGCACTGGCTCCATATGCTGCAGGTAGCGGGTTCAAACCCAGCCCCAACCAAAAACTGCAAAAATAAATAAAATTGGGGGGTCATTTAAAAAAAAAAAATGACAATGGCTGGGAGTTGTAGTGGGCGCCTGTGGTCCCAGCTATTTGGGAGGCGGAGGCAGGAGACTCGCTTGAGCCCAGGAGTTGGCGGTTGCTGTGAGCTGTGATGCCACAGCATTCTACCCAGGGCGATAGCTTGAGGCTCTGTCTCAAAAAAAAAAAAAGAAGAAAAAATAGCTGGGCATTGTGGCAGGCGCCCGTAGTCCCAGCTACTTGGGAGGCTGAGGC